GTGGCAGCGCCCACTTCTCTCTCGTTCTAATGCAGGCAGGAAGGAGAGAGGAGGGGCCCCCACAGTTTGGACGATCAGCCTTTGGAGGCGCACACAGACATCATTATATTGCACAGCGCGCTCGGGGTGCTGCAGGTGTGTTGCTGTGGGTGCTGCTCGCGCTGCCGGTGATGCTGCCGATGTCACCACGCTCCTCTTCACCTCACACCCTCTCTGTTTTCATTTCCATTCTCGTGCGCGTTTGGCTACGGCCCAGCCCAGCGCGGCCCCGGGGGACCAGGGCGGGCGGGGGGACGCGCCGGGCGGGGTGGGCGGGCAGCGGGCGGGCGCAGCCACCTAACATCCACCAGCAGGGGGCAGGGGGAAGCGCCACCAGCCAACAGGAAACAGCTCGTGACACGCGTCTTTAGGGGGTATAATATGCCCCGGGCCGGACAGACCGTTCGATATACGCAAATATCAAAAACCACCCCTCCACCCCGCGCGGATGGGCGGCAACGCAACGACACTACTTCTTCTGAGACGCACAACGGTGAGCGGGCAAGGCAGCGTCGTAGCGCGTAACACGACGGCGTGGTCGTGAGCAGGGCGATCGTCACGGCCACCAGGGCGCCGGGACAAATCGTGAACGGGGCGTCACTACTCCGCGGGGGGAGACGGTCGCGGGGTATCCGCGGCAGCCCCCTCTGGCACTGGCAGGGCAGCACCCACCACCCCACCAGCCAGCCGCAGCCCGCCGGGAACCCTCGTCTCAAATGCATGGAACTTCCCGCGGCTTTGGCTTCATAATGACACTTCCAAGACAAATTCTACTTTTCCCGCGCCCCCGTGCTGCCCTCCCCTCCCCCGCCTCGGCTCGCCAGGCGCGCTGGCGCGCGGGGACCATAAGGCTGGGGAGTGAGCGAGGCCTCTCCAGACCGCCATAACCAACACACAGACCCGACCTGAACGGAGGAATCAAGAAGTAAAAATAATGTGCGATGCTAAAAGTTTTGCTCGCGTGCACTTATTTGACAGGAAAGTGACGCGAATGGAATATTGAAACATAATACTAAACAGATAATATAATGAAAAAAAATAAATAGTACAACTTTCTTTAATAAACTTCTTTAGAGGGCACCGTGTATTGACGAGCGCTGAGAGAGGAAATCCAGTTATATTTCAGAAGGCGAGGTGGTAAGGCACAGAAACACACACACACACACACACACACGCGCGCGCGCACACATACACACACACACACCTCATCCCGTCTTCGTAGCCTCGTCAAAGGCTCCGCCCGCCCCGGCGCGCCCTCCATACCAATCCCGCGCTCGCCGTGCAAACATGCACACATACAAATGCCTTATCAAGCCCCCTTTCTCCACCTCCTCTCCCACCCCCTCCTGCCATCCCCGCACCTCCTTCAAGTAGTGGCGACTTATGAACGCCGAACCGCTCGCACCCCACCAGCAACGCGCCGCGCCCCCGCGCGCCCCCCGCCCCCCGCCGTCGTCCCGGCAGAGTGTTGCTGCGAAAATAAATTATTTAACACCATCTTTGCTCTGCCTCTGTGTTTGCATAACATTGCCCTCGCCATACCGCACGCGCGCCCGCCTCCTTCCCTTCGTCTTTCCTTCCCCTCTTCTCTCTCTCTCTCTCTCTCTCACCCCTCCGCTCTCGCTCTCATATCATTCCCTCGCCACGCTCGCTGGTGCCCGGCGGTGCGCTCATATGCCCCCCGCTCAATCTAGCGCTCGCTCCCTCCCTCCTCCTCGGCCGGGCCCGGGCCGGGCGAGCGGGCGAGCTCCCGGGGTACTTCGGGTAGGCCGCTGCGGCGCGCGGCCGCCGGCCGGGTTGCATACCCCGCTCCCGGCAGGCGCTCGCGGCTCGGTCGGGCATCCGGGGGTCCGGGGGGATCCGTACCCGGTGGTGGCGTCCGCGATGGGCGTCTTCCTGATTGGGTACCCGCGACGCTCCGACATCTCGAGAGCGACATCGCGCGGGTCAATATGGCACGCGAACCTGTGCAGCGGGAGCGGGAAACGGGGGCAGCAGGAGGGGAGGGTGGAGCGAGGAGAGGAGGGACAGCGAGAGAGCGAGAGACAGACAGACAGAGCGAGAGAGCCGGGAGAAGCGGTGGGGAGGGAGGGCCCACTCGAAGCTGTCGCACCTTAAATATCGCCCACCATTACCGCGAGATCCTCGGCAGACCAGTTGGCTAATTTGGGGCCCTCCGCCCGGCCCTACCGGCCCCGCCCAGTCCATCTAGGTCCAGCCGGTCCCCGGCCCGGCCCGGCTCGTAGTGCCTCTTACCTGCTGAAACCTAAGCCTTGTGGATGGCGCGCTCGGCTCCCGCGCGTCCCGAGGGGTTCATTCGTAATCGACAAACAAAGGATGCGCCGGCCGGCTGCTCCGGGGGAGGGGAGGGGAGGGTGCGGGTGGCGGGGAGGGGGATCAGTTTCGGCCGCCAGGGGAGGCCCTCCGGCCCCCCTTAAAGTGGCCCCTGCCCGCAGGCGCTGCGATTCGCCATATCGACTAAAACAATAATTACGGCGCATGGGTTTACACTGCGAAAGGGAAGAAAAACCGGCGGGGAAAGTAGAATCCCCTGCGTGTCCCTTTTCTTGGGCAGCGACGGCAGCGGTGTGCGCAGTGCGTGCCACTCGGCGGAACAAGGCTCGGAGGCCGTTGCTGCCGCTGTGCTGTGCTGGGGGAGGCCGTGCTGGGGCCGCCAGGCCGGGGCCGCCAGGGCGCCAGGGAGTGGAAACTTTGCCGCCCAGGAGATTCATCCGGTCCCAGTGGACCTGCCCCGGCCCGGCCGCCGCGCCACCACCCCCAGCCCGCACGGCGAGCACTGCTCACGAGCAGGGCCTCCTCTGCCTCCTCCTGGCGCAGCCCAGAGGCGCAGCCCGGCTCCTCCGCGGCACAAAAACAGCAATTCGCAAGTGCGCGGCAGCGCGGCCCCGTCCAGGGCTTTGTGCCCAGCCGCAGATGCACGATGCACCCGCCGGGTACTCGTCACTCGCTTGCTGTGTCTCTTCTGTCTCTCCCTGTCCCTCTTTCTCAAAAACCTATCTGTCTCTCTGTCTCTGTCTCTGTCTCTCTCTCTCTTTCTCCCTCTCTCCCTCTCTTCCTCTCTCTCACACACGCGCGCTCTCTCATCCTCATTCAGAGCCCTGCCCTTCGCGTTCTCCGGCTCAAGAGATGTCCAGAATTTAGCTGGAGCCCCTCCTAACAGCCCCATCCCGCCCCTCCGGACCCAGCGGGTCCAGCCCAGCGCAAAGGTCTTCTGCCGGACTCGACTAACCTCTCATTACTCTCCCAGATGACTTATCGCCGGGTGGATGCCCCCGCCCTGCCCCCGCCCCCCGGCCGCAGTCAGTGCTCTCGACCCCCTCCTGCCCATCGTGTGGCCCCGAGCCCGCACTGCGCCCCTAACGACACTGGTCATCTGTTCGATTCGGACATTGGAGCAGCGGCAGCAGCAGCAGGAGCAGGAGCAGCAGCAGCAGCAGCAGCAGCAGCAGCAATCCGGTCCCCCGACAAAACTAATGGCCAACAGCGGAGTGGAATATGGAAGGGCGGGACAGGGTGGGGGCAGGCGCACCTCCCCGACGACGCCCACGCCCCTGCTACGGCCATAGGCCATACCGGCGGCGTCCTCGTTACATGGCTGGTGCCTCCTCGTCGCGGGGGGTGCGGGAGGCAATAAGTCGGTCCCCACAGCGACGGCCGATAACGTCCGAGGCCCCCGCCAGAGCAGCCCGGCAGCAGCCCCCTCCGGCGGGTCCAGACATCTCCGGCCCGGTCCCGGGGGAGGCCTCGGGGCCTACGGCCGGGACCACTCCACCCCTGTGCTGGGCGCTGTCACCGGCGCGGCCTCGGCGCAGAGGACCCTCTCGTCGGCCTCGGGCCCCGCCCGGGTCGGGGCGTAGGGTGGCCACCAGCGCGACCAAGCCCAACGACTAGGGCCGCCGCTCGCACAGGGGGGGACACGGGGCATGATGGGGTGGGACTGCGGGTGCGGGGGCTCTCGTGGGGTTTGACGCAGGGGCGGGGAGGAGGAGGGGGCAGATGAGCAGCAGCAGCACCGCGGTCAGATGCGCGTTTTGTATCTTTTACAGAGCGACGTCGAGGGGGCCGTATTTTACATGACACATCGCCGCGCCCGAGGTGCGGGCTGGGGCTGGGGCCGTGGCTGGGGGCTGGGGCCGTGGCTGGGGCTGTGGCCCCGCCGGGGGTTGGTGCCGGCGGGGTAGGGGGCGGCGGGGTCCATGACGTGTGCTCGGCAAACGTGTGATTAGCCTGGGAAAGATAACCAACGGTGATTAACAACGGTAGAAAAGAAACTCGTTTATTTCTGACCTTGGGCAGGCGGGGTGGGTACTCGAAAACATGATCCTGGGGTGCAAGGGGGTTGGGGGAGCAAGCAGGCCGACAAGCAGAGCTCAATAAATATCGGCCGTCGAGTGCGCGCGATCGCCCCCGCCGAGCCGCGCCCTGCAGCTCCACAGCTCCACACCGCAGTAAACCCCCTCCTCGCGAGCGTCTCTTATTTTTTGTATGGAATATGGATGCAGTGGCACCCAGGGACACACAGCTTGACAAATCCGTCCCCACGGTCGTGGCGGCGGGATGGCGGCGGCGCGGTGGCGTGGCGTGGCCGGGGCGTTGTTGTTGTTGTTCCTCTTCTTCTTCTGCGGCTGCTGCTGCTGCTGGCTATGGAGCCTCTGATAAAAATCGCCATCCTCTGTAAAATGACGGCCGGGCCGTTCGTGGTATGCTTCCTGTGGTGACGGGGAATAGTAAACACATCCTCTGAACATGTACTACATCAACGTTAAGCGACTTGCCGGCGTTCCGGTCGGGTTACTTACGGGCGCTTGCGTGAGAGACCCTCAGCCCGCCAACAACACAACACAAGGAACCGTCAACTAACTACTGTCAACAACAGCTACGTGTCTACGCTGCTACGTGATGCTAGGCTACGCTACGCTGCTACTCTACGCCAGACTCACTCTTCAGCGCCCTGGGTTTGGCTTGTTTCCGGCGAGACATCGTCACGCGCGCGCTGCGGGTATCCCTATCGGCCCCGGTCCACCGCCGAGCATCCCCCGAGGTCTCGATCACACTGCTCCGTCACTCCCGTCACTCCGCACTGTCGCTACAGTCACTCTCCACGCAGTCACTCGTCCCGGCACTGACAGCGTCCCCTGCCTGTCGTCACTTCCGCGGTGTGTCAATCACCTGCCCGGACTGGCGGCGGCACTACGGGGTGCAGTCACCTCGTCACACGGCAAGGACGCCGCGGGGGTGTCACTCCGTCACGAGCCCGTCACCCTGGGCGCAGTCACCCCGTGGCACAGCAACAACTTTCACGCCTCCGTCTCGAGACCGTCACGTGACGGCGCCGGGCGCGCCGCGCGCTGCCGGTCTCGTCGCGGAGGTGCTGCGCGGGCCGCGCCGGGCTGCTCTCGCTCTCGCGCCCAAGCTGTCGTGCGGTGCGCGCGGCGGCGGGCCGGAAGTAAAGCCCAGCGTGCGGAGCGTGCGCCAGGCGCGCCAGCGTGCCTATGGTCACCGGATCCCCTCCCGCCACAGAGCCGGCGCCGCCACCCTCTGCGCGTGCGTCGGTCGCACCCCCGCGCGCCCCGCCACCCCGGACCCGCCCCGGCCCGCCCGCCCCCGGCCCGCCGCGGGGGTTGGCCAGACAGATGGGAGCCCGTAGCCTCGGCAGACAAGCCGGTCCAGGACAAGCTGGGCGCCGGCGCCGGGGGGGAGCGCCGGCCGGCGTCGTGCGGTCGGGTTCAGCTTGCGAGGCCGCGGCCCTTGAGGCAGGCGCGCGGCGGGGAATGACATCATCACAGCTGAGTCTACTGCCCCACTTATTGGGGATAATATAGCCGAGTATAGCAGAAGCAGACCGAACGTATGTTTAATTTTACTTATTTCGTATCGTGAACAATTCCGACACATTTCATCAACCATCACAAGAGAAACAATGTGCATCTCGGTAAGGACTCGCAAGCACGAAGCCGTTTCTGTCGCGTCGCGACCTGCCAGATTATTTGCCTTGCCAGGTATCATCTTCTTTGTCGCACATGCATGGTAATCACGGGTTATCATCTCTGCAGTCAATTCTGATTTTCTTCTGAGTAATCAATCGGGTGATTGTTTTTTCACCCTAGCCATAATTGAGTGGTTGCGGAGGTCGTGTAGGTCGCGCTCTCCCTGACGACTTCCGACTACTTCCGACCGGGGACAAGCGGTAGTTCGCGTAGTGACCGCTAGACCGCGTTCCCGTCCGTTCGCTTAAAGAGGGGGAGGGGCGCGGGAGGTAGAGGAGAGGAGAGAGGTGACGAAAGACCTGTTTGGGTTTTCCCAGTGTTTTCTTTTGGTTCAAGACAGGTCGGATCTCCTCTTTCTCAGTTGAACGGCTGCTGTGCTCCAAGACAGTTGTTCTTGTGTCAGGTGGTTTTCTATCTTGCTCTCTATTCAACAACGATGTGCGATTCGAGACCGAAGACTAAGTATATATACGATTTGCCGTACTGCGAGAGGGAGGACCTATGTCGCATTCTTGATTTGCACGAGAAATGGAAAACTCTAGGTTAGTAAATAGAAACCGACAGCATTTCTTTATCAGGTGTAGAGTGTCGCGCTCAATCCAGTCCACTGCTTGCCTTGCTGCAGTGTGAACCCGATAACCCCTTGGCTTGCTTTGAGTGACATCCACTTGCAACAGGCTCAACAGGTGGCTGTTCAATAGCATACTTTAAAGATGATTATTGATTACTCTTTGATTGCATGTAGGTGGCCTCATGAAATTTAGCACATTAGATATTCAATGTATGGAACACCTGGAGAGACGTGGGAAATCACCTTCCGATGAACTTTTGACAAAATGGAGTTTGCAAAACCATACCGTTCAGGAACTGTTTGTGCTGCTCTCACGGATGAACCATTTCCAAGCTATGTCTATTTTGAAACCTTTTGGTAAGACCATTCAAGATATCCAATACTACCTTATCATCCGTTTAGCGACAATTTTGATTTTCCCTTTGCTTTGATCTTTTTTTTTGTTGTAGTTGACCCCCAGTACCATCAATTAATGTTTGAAGGAGAAGAAAGTTGGACGAAGCTTTTGATGGATTCGAATAATTGTACTGGAGGACAAGCACACCATCCTGTAAGTAAAATTATTTCTGTCATTCATGTCTGCATATAACTCTGCAACTCGTTTTGCCTTATTGGTGTTCTTCCAAAGCAGGGGAAAAAGCTGATGACAAACGGACCAAGTGCTGCTGCAGCTGCAAATAATATGACTGATGTTGGCCACAATCTTAATGTTATGTTACCAGAAACACAAAAGATAAACAAACCAGGATTTTCTGAGAAAATTCAAAATATTGGGTAAGTTTTATATCCTTCTTTCTCATGTATGTGAGTTATCTAAGGAATGTTGTAAAGGTTATTTTTCTTTCATAGAAATCCTATTTCTCTTGAAGAAAATGGCCGGCAGCCATATGCCGAGTCCCTAACTCCACAAACACCTGGAACTGCTTGTTCACCACCTGTTCTGACTCCAAATGCTGGAAGTCGATATGGTGGTGTGGGTCAGCCACAACTGTCACCTGTAGGGATTGCAGCTCTTTCTAATATTCCTTTGGGCCAACACCACTTTGATTTACGGGCTACATCATTTCCGCAGCGAAAACTGTCAGGTACAAAGTACCACAAACACCAAAATAACATTAGAAAAAATAAAATGAAAATGGCATTTATTTTTATAATTTCTTTCAATTTTTTAAAGATGGATCAATGGTTACGATTCCAAGTGAATATCAAAATGTTTTACCAATGCATGATTACAAGGAACTAGAAGCTGCAACAAATGGATGGAATCCTGCCAATATTATTGGCAGGGGTGGATTTGGGACAGTTTTTAAGGGAGTATGGAAGAACACTGATGTGGCTATCAAAAGGATTGAACTTCCAGTGAGTTACCTTATGTATGTTTTATTAGTGGAGACGTTTTTTTATTTTATTTATCTATCTAGTTTTTATTTATTTTTCCCCCAGAAAGGTGACTCAAGAGAAAGCCAAGAGGTTCAGTTTCAACAATCTCACAGAGAGCTACAAGTGCTTCAAAGAATTCATCATGAAAATATTTTACAGCTGTACAGTTTTAGTTTCAATGGTAATCAACCATGTCTTGTTTACCAGTTCATGGAGAAGGGATCCCTTGAGGACAGACTTCAGTGCAGAGTATGTCTATCTATCTATCTATCTATCTATCTACTATTATGACCTGAGACATTAAGTTGTAAGCTATTCTCATTATATTATATTTTTTGATCAGAATCGCTCAAGCCCCTTGACATGGCCTCAGAGATACAATATTGCTAAGGGAGCAGCTAGAGGACTACAATATTTGCACACCGTCCAAGAAAAACCTCTTATTCATGGAGATATTAAAAGGTATTTTCAGATAAAACCTGTTTCTGATGTTTAGAAATGTAGCATAAATTTGGTGTTTTTGTGTTTCTTTAGTGCAAACATACTCTTAGATGCCAATTTTGAACCACGGATTGGTGATTTTGGACTGGCTCGAGAAGGACCACAAACTCACTACACTCATATGAAAGTCAGCAGAGTTCATGGCACAAGACCATACTTGCCTGATGAATTTTTACGCTCAAAGAAACTATCAACAAAAGTTGACACCTACAGTTTTGGAGTGGTGAGATACTTGATAAATATGCTGAAGCAAATGTTTTTCATAGTGTTAACATTTTCAGCTAGCCATTTGTTATATTTTCTAGGTCCTTTTTGAGCTAGCTACTGGGCTCAGAGCATTTGATGACAAACGTGTTAATAAATATTTGGTAAGTAAACATTCTTCAGTGGTTAGTTCTAATAGTACTGGTCTTACTTAAAAAGTTTTTAGTATCAAGAATTTCTTTTCTTCTAAATGCTAGAAAGATGAGGTCACCAATCACAAGGATGTTTTGCAATTAATTGATCCTAAAATAGTTAAGGCTCCTATAATTTTCTCTCATTTTATTGACCTTGGAAAAGTTTGTGTAAGAAAGTTACCAAAAGATCGCCCAGAGATGAAAGTCGTTTGTCAGGACCTTGACCAGCTTGCCTCAAATGCTGCTCAAGGTAGGAAACTCTTTTTGATTTAATTTTTAAAATGTCATGCTGTTTAATTTATGTAATGATTGATGTTTGGTAATTTTGGGCTCTGTAGTTACTCCTCGAGAACTTCAAGAGTACTATGACAAGTTGTATGAACTCCGCCGACAGTCCATCAGCAACAGTCCTCAACCTGTGTCAGCAGTTTCAGGACAACCCCCAAATTCCTATAGTAGGCATCCTGCCAATTCAAGTAGCCACCCGCAAATGGGCCCACCTATTACAGGTCAACCATCTCTTGGAATCTCTGTTAATGCACCTACCATTGGAGGCACTCAAGGTGTTGGTTGTGTAGATGTTAGTGGTAATGGCCAAGCTGGTCCATCTGGCCATGCTGGTAACAACATAATTACAAGTCGACCTTCAATCCAACATGCAAGTCCTCAGCAACCATTGCCCATCGACTTAAATATCATACCAAAGGTAGATGTTCTCAACGATTTTATGAAAATCTGAATAGAATTGTACCTAGTTTATTAATAATATTTATTTATTTTGAACTAATATGACTTTGTATGTTGCAATCAATGCAGCCAACAGACGGTGTATCTGTGATGACCGCTGGAACAGGAAGTGTGGAACCAATGCTGCCTACTGTGCTGCCTACAGTGCTGCCCACTGTGCTTCCTGTCACTCGTAATTCGCCTCTTCTTTCCCCCGTAATATCGGTCATGCCTCCCACTGGCTCAGAAGCATCCATGGCATCTACACGATACTCAATGAGTGATTCATCAGATTGTGCAACTGAGGATTTACAGCCTGCATCATCTATCATGCCTGAAGAGGTAAAATAGCTTCATATTCCTACAAGATAAGGGAAGCATTCTTTTATTCTGTATAATTGGTTACCATTTTTGTCTCCAAACAGATAAATACTCCATCGGAAGAACAGGGACCTGAAAATCTTCCTCTGTTATCAGTTCTGGGTATTAGGGACGATGATCCTATTTCAGAAACATCTAATTCTGAACAACCTGTCAATTCTTTTAAGAGCTCTTAAAATGATTTCTGAAATCTTTCATTTTGTGATAAATTTTATTTAAAGTAATTTTCAGGCCCTCTACCTAACTATATGGCACAATTACTTGAACCTAAGTATAATGAATAATATATATCTGGAAATTCCCAAACCCTTATAGTTTGATATTACTGCAGTGTTCATAGAAACTTTGCAATTGATCATTGCAATGGGAAAAAACAAATTCTTCCACTACTCTTATTATACTAGTAGTAATTTTATAAGTAAGTAACTGTTTTATTTTTTAATGTTTTGACTCCTGTGATATTTTTACATGTGTACTTGTAACTCCTGTTGTTTCAATTTTCCAAATTTTTAATTGCTTCCTGATGAACTGAGGATAGAGTATTAGACAGGAAAATTTTGTATACCATAAGTTGTATTTTTTGTACAAGGATATTCTCTCTTAAGAAAAATGTTATAATGGTCAAATAAATCTTTTAACTATGTGCCACTGTTATCACAGATGTGCCAATCACATTATGAATCTCTTCATTTAATATTCTATCCTTTCAGCAAAAAATTTATAGTGAGAGATAAAAACTCTGCTGGCTTTTCAACATGTACTAAATGACCAGCATCTTTCACATATGCAAATTCAGCTGCTGGAAATACCTTCAGAATATCAGTCTCTTCCTCTGGCTTCAAGTAGTCTGACTTTGATCCACCAATAAATAAGGTTGGACCACTAAAACTGCTTGTAATTTTTGGAAATGTTGCAATTCTGCTCATAAAATTGTTAGCCAAAGCATCTAAATTGATTCTCCATGTATACTGACCACTTCCTTTCTCCACCAAGTTCATAATTAGAAAATCACGCAACCCTTTATCACTGATTGTTGATGATAATTGTTGATCTGCATGTTTTCGAGCCGCAGAAAGTGGAATATTTGGTTGCAGGCGGATTGACTGCATGGCATTAAAGTACTTTCCCATTGTCATCAACTGAGGGCTGGTTCCAATAGGTGAAATATCCACCACAACTAATTTGTCTACAAGCTCAGGCTACGAAAGAAAATACCATTACTGAAATGTTTGCAACTTCAAATATTAGTCACCAAATTAAGAAAGTAGCCGCTTACATATTTGAGAGCAGCCATCATCATTGCCCTTCCGCCCATGGAATGACCAATAAAAGAAGCTTTTTTGATACCAAGAGTACCCATGAGGTGACGGATATCTTCCACCAAATGCTCATAGGTATGCTCTGGAGAATGTGGGCTATCGCCGTGGTTGCGTGCATCTACGGCAATCACCTGAAGGACAGGATTTGGTTGTATTATTCACTCCCGCTAATTAAAATCACCAAACAGGATGCTGCAATGTTTTCACTGCATACCTTCCACATTGTCTTGTTGTGAAGAACCTTCGAAAGAGAATTCCAATTGCTTCTAGAGCCCATCATTCCATGCATAATTAGTAAGACCTTACTACTTTCTGGTGATGGATTCTTGGTATTTTCATACGAAGAAAATGCCATTTGAATTGGTTGTAAGCTGCAAAACCAAGAAGTTGTTAGCCTGATGGGTTCCTCAAACTGTTTCGTATTCTACAGAAGAATACACACCTGGCATTTGAATGAAGGTGCTTTCCAGTTGTACAAAGAAAGCGACAGTCCATATGATTATAAATGTTATTTTTTGATTGAGGTATGATATGTTTCCATAACAATCCCCACTGCATAACCCCTCCAGTGCTTCGAAGACAGTGTTTGAAACTTGTCATAGTGTGACACGTATAAAAACTGTCACAGTGCAGCAAAAAATGATAACTCCTATCTCGACGATATTATAACAGAATGACGAACACAGTGGTATTTGTAGTTATTTAAAATGTTTATTACATCAATAAAACCAGCTGATGGCTGCTGTCGTCTGCAATCCACAGCCTTTTGAGCTTAAATATCCGTCTGTCGTCTCCCTTGCCAATAAAGCTAACCTTCATTAAACGTGCCGACTGCCGACTGTTGATGTTAGGCTGTTGGCTGTTTTTCTTGCTTTTAACATCAACTGTGAAAGGACAAATTAATTGAGAGTTAACAAAGATGAATCTTCTTCCCAAGACGCGGGAAGAATTTAGCAAAACAGAATACTGGAACACATTTTTCAAGAGGAGAGGAACTAAAGCTTTTGAATGGTAATTGGATATGGTTTAGTATTATGAATAATTTGTACGAGAGACATGAGTTCATTTTGTATGTTTTTGTTTATCTAAGGTATGGAGAGTACCCCGAACTTTGTGGACATCTTCACAAGTACATAAAACCGCAAGACCCTGTTCTTGTTGTCGGATGTGGCAACTCCAAACTAAGTGCTGATTTATACGATGTGGGATACAGGTGCTTATTTATTATTCTACCTTATTCTTTCACAAGTCCTACGTGTGTGCCACTCATTCTTATGAATAATTACTTTGCCCTAGGAAACTGACAAATATTGATATCAGTGCAATCGTCATCAAACAGATGCTCCAAATGCATTCAAAACAACGACCCGACTTGCAGTTCATACAGATGGATGTGTTAAAAATGGAATTTGATGACACAAAATTTAGTGTTGTCCTTGATAAAGGCACACTTGATGCATTAATGAGTGATGATTCTCCAGAATCTTATGAAAGGATAAATACCATGTTCAATGTTAGCACATCTCCAAATAAATTTCAGTTACGTCATTGTCATTGTCAACTCATTTAAGATTGGCTGTACAATTTCTTTTTCTTATTGCAGGAAATAGATAGAGTTCTGAAGCCATGTGGACGATGGGTTTGTGTTTCACTGCTGCAAGATCATGTTTTGAAAGCCATCATTAGATTTTTTCCAGAACGAGGATGGATGGTCAGAATTGCACGCTGCATTGAAGCAGAACAAAAGTCTGCAAAAGAAGGAGAAGCAAGTGGGCTGCCTGTTTTTGTTGTCATATGTACCAAAATGCTAAAAATGCCTAATTTTACACCAGTAAGTATAATTATTCCAGCTATTTTTTTTTTATTTTCATCCTTATTCAGCCATTTAACATCATCTGCAATTTTAGGTATTAGAATTACATCTTGGTTCTGACGGGAAAGGTGAGAGATTTGCAAGTCCTGAAGCCCTTGTTGAAGGAGTGCAAATGATTCAACAAGCTGCCTTAGTCTGTAACCGTTTGGGGACTACAAATGTTGCTAATGATGGAGAAGTCTCACTGGATTTAATGCAACCGGGAAGTACTTCTCCTCGGTTTACAGTATATATTTGTGATAGACCATGTGCCAATGAGGCAAATCGAAAGTTTGCTGCATTTGTTGTTCCTCAGGGAAGGTAAGTATTTTGTTCTTTTAATTATTATTATATTTAACCATTACAAAATTATTTTGTGTTCTTATTGTAAATACAACATTTTATTTTTTACTTAAAAACTGTCTGTCATTGACTATTTTGTTTAGAGAAACGGAATGGTTGTTTGCAACACACGAGGGAAGAACTTCCGTCCAGAACTCTGTGGGTTATGATAGATTGGCTGTTATTACCATGCACCGTGGACATGTTTATCCCTCCTTGGAGGAGTTGCAGGAAGAACTGTCAGAGTGCATTTTACAGATTGCGCCTGCTGGACACAATCGAAAGGTCTGTATGCCATTAAATCCTATGTTCTTCAATTGAAAAGAATTTTATTTTAAAAAGCTGAAAACTTACAATAAATATATTTTCTAGATTCCTTTCCTATCAGCTGGTCAAGATGTAGGAACCCGAAAGGTGTGCTTTCAGGCTACAAGTTCTATATCTGGTGATATTATTATAGAAGAGGTTGAAGTTGAAGATGAGATTTTTCGGAGATTAATTTTTTTGAAGAATCCCAATGTAATCCAATCTGAATGCAGGCTGAAAAGGGGTACGTCTTACACCTAGGTGCTGACTGTGCTGACATTTATTTATATTTCTTCATTATTTTCTACTGTAGACTACTTTTAAATTTTATTTTTTAACAGTGAAAACCAAAAAGGGTCAGCCTAAGCTAGTTGTAGACACAAGTTACTTGGGTTGTGATCACCATATCTACATGGGAGTAGGAGTTTCAATGGCCCTAAAGGCTAATTCAAAATCTGGACAGATTCTGGTTATTGGACTTGGTGGTGGTGGACTCTGTACCTATCTACACAATTGTTTCAAACAGGTATTTGAAAACTTCTATTTGTTCCTCTAAATTTTTATATTTTCTAAGTTTACCATATTTTTTGTGTTTTAAATTTTTTACACTTGTTCAGGCAACTATTGAGGCTGTGGACATTGACCCGCTGACAGAAAATATTGCCAAAGATTATTTTGGTTTGCCCAGTGATGATCGTATGAAACTTTGTTTTGAGGATGGTTTGGTCCACCTGAAGAATTTATCTCAAAATGGTTTGTATCTTTTCAAATTAGGCCTTTCATGATTATGAATTGGTAAAAATAACACTTGTTTATTGTAGGGAAAGGTTTTGATGCTGTTCTTTTTGATGTGGACAGTAAGGATCCTAAAGTAGGAATGAGTTGCCCTCCCAAAGAGTTCCTGGATATTGAAACATTAAATGATGTTGTTAAATTGATTGGCAGTGGTGGTAAGAGCTGTAGATTCTGTATTGTTATTTATTTTGGCGGAGTGGGAGGGTGTGGTTCTGTTCCCATTGTTGATATATTTCTTTGATTTATTTTCCCAGGTTTATTTATTTTGAATCTTGTATGCCGTTCAGAAGAACTCAAGAAAGATGTCAAAGCAAAGCTCAAGAAGGCTTTTAGTTGTGTCAGTAGTTATAAGCTTGACCAAGATGTGAATGAGGTATTTTTCTGTTCAGCCCGTAAATTCAAGGACACTGAGGCTTTACGAGCTGAATTAAAGTCAGCTGCTCAGAATTTTAATTCGATTGTGAAGGAAAACAAAATACAGAACAGAAATATTGTTGATGTGACAGATCTCGTAAAAAAGCTGAACATCTCATAAAATTTGTATTTTTACTTTTTGTATGAAATTAAATGTGACCAATGTTTCAAAACTTTGCTAAATGTTTTAGTCCATTTACAGTTCATTAGAAGCAAAAGGCAATTATGTGCCTGGCACCAATCAGAAGAGTTATTCCCAACACAAAGAAATTCAATTTTAGGTGACCAGCTGAGTTGCACAGATCTCCTTGACAGAAGCACATGTAAACTTTGGCATGATTCCAAACAGTGTAAGCACATCGCTCTTCTCCATCTGATGGACCACGCTGAAGACACATCCTCTGTGTTGCCATTCCATAGTCTGAATGAATTAACAGAGACAGAGGTATTTTGTAAATTTTAAGCCAATTTGGACATAATTGTAGCTCATTAGTACCGTTAGTACCCACCATCCTGTTTATAGGATCCTGTTCCTTCAATTACTTTGCCACACCAGCCAGAAGCACATGGTATTGCTTCGACTCCCTGCTCATTTTTTGCTGTGGTCCCATTAAAATTAAAGTGATCTTTGCAACTTCCAAGATCTCCTCTTGATCGACACTGAAAGCATCGTTTCAATGCACCTGGAGCAACAGAAAAGTAAGTTCAATTCATGAGTTTTAATTTGAGAGAATTTCTTTCACATGCATAGTAATTATAAGATGATCAATTGTTTAGGGTATTGTTTCAAAATAGAAGATGGAAACTAATGTTAACTTTAGAAACAGTTCAATTGAACTATCAAATAAGGTGGAGTTAAAATTTAATCTGATCAGCAGCGTGCTGTAGTGGGTGGCGGTCGTGTAAACACATCAGACGGAATGCGCAGGATCGCGAGGGTGGTTTCCGGGTCCCCACATTGATGCCGGGAATGTGGTCATCTGTTAGCACTGACGTGTTGTGACGACCTGGTTACAGTGTCGGGGCGGGGGCTTGCGCTCAGCTTACCATGGGCCACGTCCGACGAAAGTAAAACTAGAAACAGACTAACTACTACTATCACAGGTTTCCCGGACATGGTAAAAACAGTCCTATGTCCTACGTGCACGATTGCAAGGCTAAAGGCCGACCGATATCAACACAAGACCCCATTACTTCGGCTCCGCGGCCGTGAGCGAGGGAGCGAGAGAGGAGAAACTCCGTGGACAACGGCGTGGGGCCTCACTCCTCTGCTTCACCT